TTAAAGCTGCTCAATACTTACCTCGCTACCACCCTCGATAGAAAGAAACTCGGTCGGATGTTGATAATATTGTACTGCCAACAGATCCGGGCGTACCTCTGACCACGCAACTCCACGCACTTTGTCATTCTACAATGTTGCTGGTTGTAGATGTATAACAGAAAAAGTGCTACATATACAGTACTTGATGTTGAAGCTGTACCGCCCCTTGCACTTCACCCGTGTCTGCATTGAATACCCTAACGAAACCATCGTTACCCGCAGACACCACTAACCGTGGATCCTTCTTGTGCCTAAAGTCCACATTTCGAATAAGTTGATAATTAAGTCTAGCTTTTCCTGTATTACCATATATCTCTGTTTGTCTAAGATCTTGAATATAATTCACGCATATTTGTTATTTTAAGTCAGCCATGTGGGCATAACCCAAACGCTCACTCCAAACAGAAACGCAGTGCTGGTCATGATAATCGATGCACCCGAAAAATCTTAGCCGAACACTTCCGAATTTTACCTCAAATGCGATTTCGACAATATGCTATCATTATACTATAGCAGTTTTTCTGCTTGATAACAACAGAAAAAGCGGAAAAAACCCAAACAAACTAACAGAATTTTTGTTTCTTACAATACTAATTTTTTGGCTTCTCATATTCTTTTTGTGAGTGTACAGCTCCAAATTTTGCAACATCTCGCACGGTTAAGTTTCGCTGAGGGAAAAAATGTAATTTCAGCTCTCTAGAAGCAAAGAGTATCAATCCTACTTAAACGTAACTCTCCTTTTGGCACTTTTTCTCAGTTGCCTTACTAATTCGAACTCTTAGAGATTAATGTTGTTAAAAAAAATACGGGAAGCTAAAGAAAAGGAGAAATTAAGAGAGTAAGTGCATTAAGCATTTCATCAGCTTTCTTTTGGCTTCGAATTTTTCCTTGATTTTCTGCAGTTATGGAACAGAAAACAAAAGCTGCTTTTATGTATTAACACACTTGAGTTAAATTAGGAAATCAGTGAAGCGAGATTCCCAATTTTTTCGAAGGCGTTTGCAATAATGGCCAGCACTGTTTCAAAATACTTCCGGGTCTGTCTTCGATTGCATAAGTTTGCAAATGAATACTGCAATCAAAATGCACACAAACGCCGAAATTTTCGATCCGCTGTGACGCAAAAATCAAACAGATACGCAGTGAAAAGCGTTCTCATTTGCTTCACACACCGGCGCAGATACTTTAGTTCAGAAGGCTTACTTCAAATTAAGATTTTTCACACGCTCTGCACCTTTCTTTTCATACTGAGAGAATACAGAATTCACGCAACGATGGACAGATGCAGTAAAGGCCTGTCCACAAGTCTGCCTTCTTCGTGTTCGCAACTTCTGAGTCGTAAACATTTTCTTTGTTAAAAAAAA